TATTGTTGTATATGTGGTCAATAATATGATAATATTTATTACTATTATTATAATTTTTAATAAAAATAATAATTTAAAATTAAAGTGTATTAGCAAATTATTATGATTTTTTTAAATATATATTTTTATATTATAAATATAATTTTAAAAAATATTATTATCATAATAAATATTTATTACTGTCGTCTTTTCGTCTTTTCTTTTAAATAGATATTTTTTGTTGAACCGTTAATTTATATTTATTTATTTTAATATTTTTTTCAAAATTTTAAATTATATTTTTTATTTTACTTATATACGAGTTTACTTTTTATGTGAAAATGTTATATGAATAATAATACTAACTAATAAAGAAATATAAAACTAATTTGACGAATGATAATATAATACTAAAATTATAAAATTTGTTATTTGATATAAATTTATATAATTAATATATATTTATAAAAAAATTATTTTACAATCCTACAAAATCCATATAAATCCATAAGAAATTTAATAAAATCCTTACTCTGGATTTTCTAAATCAATATAAAACTTTTTAAAATAAAAAAAAAAATCCATTAAAATCACCGACAAAGCACTTCGCCGTCGCACATCTCCGTCAATCCAAGAATTCATTGTTGTCGTCTTATTCAGACATGTTTGCTTTTATGTCCGTAGAGGACAAGCATTCCATCTCTCTAAAATCAAAAACAATAAATTGAAGCCAGTGGGCAGTGACCTCGAATGCTCGGGATTAGACGACAACAAGATGTGGCAATGCTGTGATGGCCTAATACTCATCTCTTCGATTACTGGTAGAACTTGCTCTATCATCCTCTGGAATCCATCTGCCAGAACACAGAGAAATTTGGGATTCCCTTTTCCGGATATATACGCCTTCAAATGTTGCATCGGTTTTGATTCATTATCGAAGGATTACAAAATACTTGTGGTCACTAGGAATATGAAAGATTATAGTGTGTCTAACACCAGAAGCTGGAAGACGTTTAAAAGGGCGGAGATAAATGAGTTAAAAAGCTTCCATTTGGATGATCATATGATCTGTTTGAGCAGTCGGATAATGCATGAAATTGATCTATCTAGTCTGAATATTACAATATATTTCTTCAACACAAGGGACGATAAAATTTATCAATTTATTTATGACGCAGGGCCAATAACTATAACTCCGTATTGTTATGTTGATGGTTCACCCGGACATTTTTGCATACTCTTGACCGACGTTGGCAGTGACAAGTGCCGTTTTTTGTGGAAGAGAACTGGTCGTGAATGGATGGAGTTCAATGACCTGGATGGATTTTTTCACCGGCAATTGCAAGATGTACTTGACCGACGATGATAAAGAACTTATGTTCACTTTTCCTTATGGCCAAATAGGTCGTCGTAAACGTCGTGTCATGATCTATAATTTGATTGAAAAAAAACTTAGATTCTTGAGCTGGGATCAATTGGGTTTTGGTAGTGGATTTCCTTTGATGGGATACTCAGATAATCTCTTCTTCAGCGGTATCTAGATAAAATAAGTTCAGCTTCTGTTTCGTTTTGTTTTATTTTTCCTACTTTTAATGTTTTGTTATCTAGGCAAAATATTATTATATAAATTAAGTTGATTCGATGAAGACTTGTTAATTGTCGAATTTTATTTGCTTCGATGAAAATAAATTGACAAGTTTAATTCTTCGTTGCCATATATATATATATATACTCGAAAGAATTCATTGTTTGGCTCTTTTCTAATGGAAGAACCTTGGAAGTCTGCCGAATCCTACTATATATTCCCGATGGAAACAACCTTTTCCGGTTAAGCTTTCAATCTGCCAAATGTACCCGACCACGTGACTTCAAGACACCACCGAAAGGTGCTTTCATTCGACCATCGAACACATTGAATTCTGAACTTATTTTTTCATCTAATCCGAGACCAGAAGACTTATTAGTCAGTTTCAAAAGTTTCTCAAATAGATAATATATACTATATATATTGTGCTAATGTGTGTATTGTATTTTTGTAGATGATAAGTGTTTGAGGTTTTAGTCAAGATATTAAAGTGGTGATAAGAGTCAATCTAGAGCTCTATTGTATCCTACAATGTTTAGATTTAGATATTGGATTAGCAGCCGAATGATGATTCCCATAGTAAAACTTTATGAAATCCGAACTAAGTCAACAAACACAGTGATCCTATTGATATACTTCATTCCGAATGACCTATACTCCGAATTATATATATATATGTATTGACGGGAAATGAACCTCAAACAGCGGCCGAGGTCCAGACACGAACAAATAAATGCAGCGGAATAAGAAGTACACCTTAGAAGTGTACCAAAACTAGTCGTCTATGTGTTGGTCAGATAACCAAAACAAAACAATGTTGTGCACGCAAAGTAAAAAAAAGCAGACCGGCACACTATGGGTGTGTTTGTTTGAAGGATTTGGAAGTATTTATACTATTCCCCCCCCCCCCCCCCAAAAAAAAAAATCAAATCAATTTTACATTCAAAACATCACATCAATACTTATTTATATCACGTCATACTACTATTTCAATTCAATTTGTTTACTATTCAATGCTGCAAATACCTTCAGGAAGGCTGCATTAAATTGAACTTCTTTGTCTTCGAACATTCGATAGCTTCTAAGCTTGGTCTCTATGTTGATGAAATTTCACTCGCCATGATGGTCACCTAAATTATTGTATTTGATTGTTGGGGAAAGTATAGTGTTCGACAAAAATTGCTAGATAGTTGTTCTTCCATTGAACACGCTTTCCAAATAAGAAAATTTCATCCTATGTCTTGCCACGGGTATCAAGAGTTTCGTATACCGGATAAGATAAGAACAACTAAATTTTTGGGAAGGAAAACAAATGGAATCAAAGTAAAAGAAATTTAGAGTGTATGAATATAAAATCCTACAAAGTGAAGCCAAACATCCTATAATTATAGATATCGGAAGGTGTCTTTTCATTTGAAACCAATAGACATAAAAAAACATATGTTTGGTTCGATTCAAATTTCAATTCAAACGCCATTTTCCTATAAGCTTGGCAATTTTGTCTCACCCACCACTTGTTTATTGTGACAAAACAGTTAAAGCTTAGTCAGCCATCACCTGATGATCTTGGCTATATATGTGGATTCTGTTTCTGTGGAAGAAATAGGATGACAACCATTTCTTCTTTTGTGCTTCAGTGTTTTCATTGATTTATTTAATTTCATGTAGGTAACAGTTATAAAAAATGAACAAGGTGGAAACTCTGTGTCTACTGTTGTTCTACGAGGAAGCACTGATAGCATATTGGATGACCTTGGAAGAGCAGTTGATGATGGTGTGAATGCTTATAAGGTGTTCGATGTCTCATAAATCTATGAAGTTTTCGCCAACTTCAGTTCTTTTGGTGAATAAAATTATATTTTCTCATCATTCGAAGTCTATATATCTCATCCTACTTCGTAAATTCTTGTCACTAGGCAATGTGCAGGGATAGTCGAATTGTGCCTGGTGCAGCAGCAACTGAAATTGAACTAGCTAAAAGACTGAAGGAGTTCTCTTTCAAAGAAACAGGGTATTTGCTCTTATATCTTTATACATATCTCATAGTTCCATTTGTATTTTTTCGAAGTATATATTCCTTTGGAGTTTGGCACACTTCTCTGACCGCGATTTTCCTTTCACATCAACTGTTAGAGGACGATTATGTTGGCTTATTAAAAGAAAATTTTGTATTACCCTAAAGGCACTTAATCACTTGCTTCCCTAGTGAGGATGAGAAATCGCGGATAGGCGTGAGACTGTCGTTTATTATTTGTAAAATGTTAGCGATGTTTTAATTATCATAAATCCGAAGCTTTAGATGACGAATTGTATAGAGTGGAATCACTCATATCGAAACCTAGAATTACATGCATTAAAAGGGACCAATCGGGTTCGGACATTGATGTCCTGATTCAGAAACAAGGACCTGTATTGGAAAGTTATCCGAGATGGTATCAACGTGCTCCTCTAGACCTTGTTATGGTCTTAGAAATCAGCACTGACATCGGCTTCATAAGCTTTTGTCTTTTGCTAATTGCTATTACGTTTGCTGCAAATAACCTCGGCCCGAGGGACCGGCTTTCTATAGTTTCGTGCAACACTCCTGCTACCAGATTGTTGCGCCTATGCCCAATGGACAGTACCGGGCTAGCGAATGCACTACATGCTGTGGACTTAGTTGTCCCTGGAGATAATACTGATTTTGTGGACGGACTAAAGATTGCTGCTCGGATTCTCGAGGAGAGGATGTACACGAATCCTGTTGCGAGCATTATTGTTTTATCGAATGTGAGTACGAGGCAGCCGAGCTGTGGAATAAACCCGGAGTATCTACATCAATTTCCGGTTTCAATCTGTCCTAAAACGACGCCTCCGACTGGAAACTATCCCTTTCCTGTTCACACCTTTGGCCTTGGCGTGCGCCACGATCCACCTTCATTGTACGGCGTATCTTTAGCATCGAGTGGCGCTTACTCATACGTGGAATCCTACACTGAATTGCAGGACGCCGTCACCGCCTGTTTGGGAGGGCAGTGGCTGTGGGATGCGACTACGGCTTTGGTTGCGAGAATGGAGTCGCAGGAGGCACATGAAAATGGCGGGCTCGCTTTTCTGCTGTCGAATAAGAGCAGCCATGAATTCCAGAGGGTCACCACTGGTGGCTGTAGAGTCTTAGGATTTCCTCTCCTTGTTACTTCTTCGATGATAGATATGCTGCGTAGGTCGTCTACAATCTGGTGAAAATTTTGGTCTGTTTAACGCACGCAGGTTTGCCATTGCAAATTAAACGATGATCGAATGGTGTTCGAAAATTGCATGAAAATGAAGTATATAGTAATGCTTACAAAATGTTGGGTGTTTTTTTTACATATGTAATTTTCATGGAGGAATGTGTAGTGTAGTGCAGTTGTGTCAATATACATATTGTTAGTAATTTTAGCGTAATTGAATTTATTCAATACCAATGAGTGTTGGGATTAAGTGATGCAGGAGTGGGAGAAGAAGCTGAAAAGTTGGCAGCATTAACGCAGCAAGAGATCACCAACAAAACATCAACTTCGATAACTAAACTGCTTTGATTGGAAATGAATTATGGTGAATATCCTATATGGTTGGAAAGCTCTTCGAGTCTACTTTTCAACAAAAAATACGGATCATAAAAATAATACTTCCACTGAAAGTTACGTCTGTTTCACTGAAGCGTGACAGACTGCAAAGAGTCACTGAACCAACTTTTATGTTGCTGATTTTGATGATTCATCTCCTCGTTATGAACCTTGGTTTCTTCGTATTCATAGTACTTATCCATCTTTATTTAAGTTTACATTTATTTGGAGTTTAAGTTGATGCCTATTTTATGACTATCGTTTGTAAGTTTGAGGGGGAATTTTTAAGAATTAAAAATTTACCTTAAGCTATTAAGCTTGTTGGAAGATATTGTCTTCTTATATTTTACTCTAAACTCTCTTAGTGGATTCCTAGAGTGGTGAGTGGTGAGTGTTTTCTTATGGTACCTCCTACTTCTCTAATTTCCCGGCATCATTAAGTGAACTTCGGGATGTGATGTGTGGAGTGCGCACTCGAAAAAGTTTACCGTCTATAAGTCTGTAAGTTCTGTAATTAAATTTATGAGAGAGAATGTAATAGCGAACTTGGTCATGGGCATGACTATGTGGTACGGGCTATTATGAATTTTCCTAAAATTTTAATTTCAAAAGTTGTATTTATTTATAAATTAATGTGTCTAATAATATTTAAATTATGAATTCAAACTTTTGTTTGAAATGAATCAATACATCAATTCCTTTTGAATTCAATTTAATATTTGAATTGAAACAACACACCCATTCATTTTGAAATTGGAATTTAAATTGAACTATTGTGTCTGTTCAATTTAAATGAAATATTACTTATGATCTATTAATAGATGAGTTAGTCTCATTTGCCGATATATTATCTAAACAAGATAAACATATAATTATAGCCTCCACACACATTTTTATTCCCAACGTTCACCTTGTCTCGATATTTTCTACCTGAATTCGATACTGAACTTTGTATTATTCCAATACGAATTTTGTGTATCCCTTGATAGAAATTTGGGTCAAAATATCGTATTCGAAAAATGAGCTCATCACGATACAGAATTATATCCAGCCATTTTCGTTGTTAACCCAGTAAAATTCCCAACGCATATCAGTGTTGCACATATGTGGTTTTGTAATACTTATTAGAACTTTTCCCACTAAAAAAGAAAGTATATGATCAAGGCCAGGCCCGCCATCAACTTGTAGGCTCCTAAGCCGACTACGACAACCAGTTTCTTTAAAAGAACAAAGCTTTAATATGCTAGTTTAGCGTCTATTTTTGTTTTCCATTTATATTTTAAGGTTAAAGGCTTAAATTTTTTATTTAAATAATATTTTTTTATGATATTTTATAAAAATATATAAAAAAAATTGTTTTTTTTTTTAATTTTAAGTTATTATATTTATCATTTTAATCTCATAATTGAAGTATACATCAAAATGGTCCGATATATATATTTTTGTCACAATTAGTCTTTCAATGCCAAAAGTGTGTATGTGCCCACATGGCTCATCGGAGCTTACATGTCCGTCAAATACGTGTCACATGAAGCACATGTGTAATTTTTTTAAAACAAAATAAAAAACTTATATATACTCTTATATTTTAAAAAAGTTAAAAATATTTTTCGTGTCCGCCAAATAGTGCTTACCTGTCGCACACATATGCTCCGGCTTGTTACATGGGTGCTAAGTAGACATCTCTGGCATCGAATGACCAATTGTGTCAAAAATTTTCACTTATGAAACAATTCTATGGGAATTTCAGTTACGTGTCTAAAAGAATGAAAAAATAATTTTTCAAAAATATATATTTTAAAAAAAAACGCTAAATAGTAAAAAAAACATACCTATGATACTTTTACCATTTCCATACCTCATAATTAAATATTTAAAATTATAAATACTAAATAAAAATATATACTCCCTCCGTCATCCAAATGTATGCTCACTTGACCGGACACAAGTTTTAATAAAAGTGAATAATAATGGTTATTTTTTTCTTTTATAGTAAAAAAAAAGTACAAAAATGTAATGATTTTTTACTTAAAAAGAAACGAGAATATTTTTCGATGACAACCGAAAAAAAAAAGTAAACATAGATTTGAATGACGGAGGGAGTATATTTTTAGTTTACTGCCTAGTATAACATAGTAAAAAAATAAAATATTAAAACCATTTCTAATTTTAAAAAATTCAAACGATTAAACATTAATTTGTAAATAAAAAATGTTGCATACATTACACTATGTATATATATATATATAAGTATGTGGGTGGAAAATCCTTTTTAAAATTCATAATATAACTACAAAGCAGGTTTAAATGGCCTCGCAAAGTCAAGACCTTTCATATAGTTCAAAGGTTCTGATACAATATGTGTTGGATAATCATTCAGAAACTTAGATACTCTTTAGGATACGCTTGAATGATCAAAACCTATTTGATTTGCAATGAGTTTTATAATTCGGATTTATATCCTATACTAATTCTAAAATTTTTTACTATCTTCGTCCCGCAACAAGAGTACAATTTATTTTTTACATGTAGATTTTTTAATATTAGTATTATATTGATTTGTAGTAGAAATGACAAATATACCCCTATTAGTATGATATAATTTAAAAGTAATGATGTAACATATTGTATTTATTATATTAGATAGGTAGTACAATTATTAAATTAGGAAATTGTACCCTTTTTGGGACAGACAAAAATAAAAAATGATATCATTTTTATGAGATGAAAGAGTATTATTATTGTTTCATAATGGCTATTGAAGATTGGTGAAACAACTTCTAATTTAATCATAGATATTAAAGAGTTGGTTTCAATTTAATCAATAGCATACAATAGACGGGCTATTGAAGATTGGCGAAACAACTTCTAGTATTCTATGTAAAAATAGTCCTCCAAGTATACTTTTTTCGCTAAAATAATTATTCGGTGCCGGACTCGTCATGCTGGTCTGCCATTGCTGACGTGGCGCTGATGCGGATGACATGTCATCACGTTGATGCCACGTTAGCGCCTCATAGAAATTTTTTTTTTAATTTTTTTTTTGTATTACTGATGTGTCGATGACATATCAGCCGTGTCAGAGCCATTGTCAACAACGGCGGGCCAACAAACCATTTTAGCGAAAAAATTTTGCATGTTAAACTATTTTCACATATAGTTTATTTAATGTTCTAAAATAATAAAAGTTCAGAAATATGACTAAGAACCAGTTTACCTATATAATTGAATTTCGGTTTGACAGTAAATAAAAACACAACAAATGTAAAACAGCATAACACCATTAATTATAATTAATTAGAGAAGCATAGATTAAATTAATTAATTAGGGTTGTACGGCAACACTAACCTTCATTCCCAAAGAGCAATAGTTGGAGACATTGGAGACGAAGTACATCACGCCTTCTCCGGAGAGCGGAAACACCACCGGACCTTCCATGAATGCCGCGAACGCTAATTGATCTCCGCTGCACTGATCAAAATCGCCTCGAGACACCTGAATCACGTTGTAGAGCCCCGACGCGAAGTCGAAATCTGCCGATATGATCTACAGCCAGTCACTAACTCCGATCCGATCCGATCGGATCGAGTGCAAGCAAAAACATGGAAATGAATTTAATAGGCGTACGTACGTACAGAGAGTATCTCCGGCGTGGAATGAATCAGAGTTGGAGGAAGACCAGTTGGCGTAGAAATCGGCGACGGCTGGAATCGTCCAGATGGAGTCTCCGACGATGTGCTGCAACTGCAAGCAATTGGATTTGGAGGCGCTGAGGAGTAGTACGATTATTGGCAGCAGCAGCAGCAGGGCGTTCTTCGAATTCGCCATTGCAGACTGACGTACGGTTTCTGAGGGCGAGGCGGTTACCATTGGAGGGCACCGATTTTGAATTAGAATGAATTATTAGACAATAGGACAATAAGAATGCCTTAGATAAATAAATTTGCAATAGTTTTTAAAACTGCTTATGTATATTAAAATAATTTATGAATTTAAATAAAATGAATGTACCAAATGTTTATAGCAAGGTTGTTGCAGCGACGATTTAGGCCCGAAATGGCGACACTCTGCCTATTATAAATTTCTAATATTTAATTATATAATATAAAATTATAACATCAAATTCAATATCTGAAATTAATTTTTACCATATGCATCCCACATTCTTTTGTATTTGGTGTTTGATTGCCAATTGACGGCCAAATTTCTCACATTTTATCGTAATCATCTGCTTGACCACTAATCTTATCCATCAACTCTTCATCTTTAATTATCTCTTCTAAGACATCATTAAAAAGATCACTCATCTTCAATTCAAAATATTTTGAAGGATTTAGGAACAGAGCAACCATATATAACTTCACCCCCATTTGATTACTTCATCGATCTTCAATTATTAAAAGGATTATCCCCAATGAGGCTTTCATGAAATCAATGTTGATAGAAGATGCCCTTTCTTGTGTCTTCATCACTGATAAAAACACCTATCCAAACTTTTTGGAACCGTCTTAACGTCGGTTACCCTTTTGAAGCTCCTAGTGTTGACATGTGGTTATTTAAATCAGCTACCGTCCGAAGAATGGATAGTAGCTTAGTCCAATCAATTAACCGCCTTTATTTTTATTTGTTGACTTTTATTAATATTTGTAAATATAGAATATTTTATATTTTCTCTGTTCACTTGCAATACATATATTTTAATTTTGGATTGTCATATAAAAAAGTAATCATTTCAAAAGTACTTTATTTTTTTTACAAATATCTCTACTTTTAGAATGAATGAGAGAGTATTATTTTTGGACAATATTTTTTAGTATCATGTAGTTGGAAAACAACCCATGCGTTTCTTTTGAGTTTTTTTTTTTTTTTTTCCTTTTTTTTACTGTTTGGATTTTAAGTTTTTTAAAAAATATAATTATATTTTTTACAAAAATATGACATTAAGATCATTTAGATAACAAAAATTCAAACTTTCAAACTGAGTCTAAAAAAAAAAAAAAATCCTCTTATTAAACATACTAACTTAAAAATAGAAATAAAAACAAACAACAAAACGAAACTGATTGTTCTGATGATCAGCTTAAGATCCTACAATGTTCAAAGGCGAGGGCTGGCCTTGGTTATATATATCTATATATATATTCGTTTTGGCTAAAGATCAAGATGATCCCAGCCCTCAAGACCATCTCCCATGGTGTATCTACGAGTTAAGTCTTGCAAAATTAAGTGGAACTCGTTCAGCTGTCATCCCTATATCGACACAACTGCACATTGTCTTCGCCTCCATGAAAACTTCAGATGTAAAACCTTAACATTTTGTAAGCATTATTATGAACTTTATTTTCATGCAATTTCAAACTCCATTCGATCATCGTTTTGCAATGGCAAACCTGTCTGCGTTGAAAAGACCAAATTTGAAGAGGCAGTACAGTACCTACAATTTTCACGAATCAATTAATAACTCTACACGACCTGCGCAGCATATCTGTCATCGACCAAGTCACAAAGAGAGGAAATCCTATCACTCTACATCCACTGGTTGTCGCCCTCTGGAATTCATGGCTGCTCTTCTTCGACAGTAGAAATGCCAGCCCGCCATTTTCATACCCCTCTGCCGACTCTATTCTCTCAACCAAAGCCATAGTCTCATCCCACAGCCACTGCTTGACCATACTGTTCGGCTCGGCGAGCAATCTAAAAGCATTAAAACTATTACTCATAGATGCGAATCCGGGACCAACACTCTCCACCCTATTGATATCATCTTCAATGTCATCAGGAATTCCAAGGAAAATCGACAGCAAATCCATGTGTTCGCTCCCTAGATCTCGACTCGTCAGATTACGCTGAATCGACTGCGCACGCATCAGAACCTTGTCAATAATCCATAGTCTTATCTGCGACGTTGGTTCTGTATACACTGCGAATGCTCTTACATGCCTTCTTAAATTCATATTTTCTTCGGTTGTCTCAGGGATGCCTCCGAATGTGACCAGAAAGAATTTTCTCTCATTAGCATAGAGGTTGCCGATATTAAATTCGGCGCCGTACGGCAATCTCTGGATGTTGAACTTGGCATATTGGATTCTTTGGAGGTGTAACAGGGGTAGCGTCGAAACGTTTAGCCGGATGTTTTGAGCGACGACACTCTGGAGCCCTCCCAAGCAGGTAGCGACGGCATCCTGCAATACCGCGTAGGATTCTACGTATGAGTAAGTGCCGCTCGATTCTAAAGATACGCCGTACAATGCGAGTGGATCGTGGCGCACGCCAAGGCCAAAGGCGTGAACCGGAAAGGGATGGTTTCCGGTTGGAGGCATCATTCTAGGACTGATTGAATCCGGCAATTGATTTAGATACTCCGGATTTATTCCACAGCTCGGCTGCCTCGTACTCCAGCTATGGTTACTCACATTCGATAAAACAATAATGCTCGCAACAGGATTCCTGTAGATCCTCTCCTCCAGTATCTGAGCAGCAATCTTTAGTCCGTCCACAAAATCGGTTGGACCTCCGGGGACAAGCAAGCTGACAACATGTAGTGCATTCGGTAGCCCAGTACTGTCCATCGGGCATAGGCGCAATAATCTGGTAGCAGGAGTGGTGCACGAAACTATAGAAAATCGATCCTTCGGGCCGAGGTTATTTGCAACAAATTTAATAGCATTTTGCACAAGACAAAAGCTCATTATGTCGATATCAGTGCTGATATCTACGACCATAACAAGGTCTAGAGGCGCACGTTGATACCATCTCGGATAACTTTCCAATCCAGGTCCTTCGATCTGAATCAGGACATCAATGTCCGAACCGGACTGCTGCCCTTCAATGAATGTAGTTCTAGGTTTCGGTATGTACTGCATTAAATCGTAAATTTCGAAAATATGATCGATAGGGGAACTAGGTGGAGGTCGATCATCATTGAACGGAGGACGCTCACAAGGGGCTGTACCGGAAGGTCCTGTCGACGTCTTCCATTGCAAAGAGATGAAATCAGCATAAATATATATGATGATGATGATGATGATGAGTAAAAGGTGTATTTACAGACCAGTTCAAAACAAGATTCCCAATATACGAAATTATTTCTAAGAAGATTGATCATTAGATTACAATTGTCAATAATAAATGACTCGTTCTACAAAACTTCTAAAAAGAACTCGAAGAGGACATGAAAGTTAGATTCAGGCCAAGAAAGGTAACTTTGATGATCCGAACAATGTAGAGATGAACTTGATATATATATATATATATATATATTAACAGGAAATTAAAATCAGGAATCATTCCTTCACTCAGCTCCGATTTCCCCAAATTCCATTGAAATGCAAATCAAGAAAACATGCATGAAGGCATTGGATGAGTATATATACAGCAACTGAACTGAAGAGATAAAACAAAAAGTGCATAAAAACTAGGTTTGAAGAATATAATGACTGACGAGATAGTCAAGAAGTAGAAGAGCACTCACATCCATGTAAGATTTCTTCTTAGTGATCGAATGTTCCTGAAAACTCAATTCTTGATCTTCTTGGGATTAGAAACGGATTTATTTTCTAATTCTGGAGATTATATATATATATGATGACTTTTGGAGGCAGGGCAAGAAATGCCTCGTGTTTGAGGGATTAATTAACTAGAATATTAATCATCCAACATTACAATAAGAATAACACAAGTATTATGTGTTTATATACGATTACATTTTATAAGGTGGCATAAGGTGTAGCTAACGAATACGTATGCCAGAGAGCCATACGTGTGTGTTGTCCACCCCGACCCAAGACATATACTAGCACGGGTTGGGTCGAGGTCATGGGCTTCGAGAATGCTTGGCCTCGTGAGGCCTATTTTATAGTATTCTAGAGATGAGTCGAAAGGATATCAAAGCACTAATTAGACATGCATGAATATGAATTTCCAATTTGAAATGTCACATTTGATGGTCGAAGTCGACGATTGGCTGGTTACCAACAATAATGGTTGGCAGTTTCACCTCCGGGCAATGATTTTGGGAGTTTTCGACTTCAGAACTTCAATTCCCCAAGGGTAGAGATGACTACTGATATAAAATTTTGTGGGGTTGTTTTGTTGGTTTAGGTTATGGTTTAGGGCGGGTTCTTTTGAGTTTGTCAGCTGTTTACTTGTGTTTGTACCGATTTTGTGTTTCTTGGGTGACTTGGACTGAGGCTAAAACCAAACCCTAGTTGAAACTTTTGTTTGATTTTTGTTGGTCTTTTTTTTTTTTAATAAAATCAAATTTATTCCGCGTTTATTTCATAACACTATAAAAGGGCACTCCTTCCATTCCAAAAAGATTACACAAACCTTCTCTTATCTCTTCTTCTAAACTACTAAGTTATAAGAAGACTTCTACTAATTCCAACAATTAATTAACTTACACAAGTTTTGGGATAGTGTAAGTTAATTGCACTATATATCTTCTACGTATTCCAACAATTCATTAACAAATAGAAAGTGCCACTTTACGAGTATTCTCGTTGAACGTTTTCCACCATTTTAGGGGCAGATTCAGTAAATTTGAAACACCAATATATGTATGTATATATCGGTCACTCGCAATGAAGCATTTATACCAATAGGATCACTGTGAAAGATAAATTTAGTCTGATACTACTCTCAACTTGCAAAACTCATTAGATATAACCTCCAGGACTAGAGCATCAATCGGTTTTTTTTCATCCAAGAAGACGAAGAGTTTTTCAGAAACATTTGATCAATAAAAAGAAATCTAATATGGATGTGAGTTCTCCTATACTTCTTAACCATATATCTCGTCATTCTTTAAACCTTTCATGCCTTTTTTGTTTAATATAATTGATCAGTTTCTGTATAATTATTCAATGGATTCATGATTTCTTGAATTACATTTTCATGGAAGCTGTGCAGATAAGAGTTGAGACAATGAATGATTCTGTTTTTAATTTCCTGTTAAGATATATATAAATTCTCTGTTATTATACGCAATTCACATTATTTGGATCAATTAGTTTCTGTTATCCTGCAGTTGTTCTTGATCATGGAAGTTAACTTTCTTGGCCTGATATTTTTTGAATGGATTTATATCGACAATCTAACTTGCCTTCTTCCAGTTTATTTATGTTTCCAAAACACTACTAATTTTAATTAGTTCTGATTATTATCCATCTAATCATGTTTACCTGTTAGTCGTTGTCATCATACATTTATGCTGATTTCATCTTGTTGCAATGGCAGACGTCAGCTGGACCTTCGCATACAGCCCTTGGCGAGCGCACTCGCTTTGATGATGATCAACCTCCGCCTAATGGCCCGATCGACCTAAATTTTGAATATGATGAAGTAATGCCGGAAATACCAATACCTGAAAAGGTGATTGAAGGGCATCAATTGGGTTCGGACATTGATGTTCTGTTTACGATGAAAGGACCGCATTTGCAAAGCTATTCGAGATGGTATCAATGCGCTCCTCTAAACCTTGTTATGATCGTAGATATTATCAGTGATATGGACACAACAAACATTCGTCATGTGCAAAATGCTGTTAGATTTGTTGCAAACAACCTTGGCCCGAGGGACCGCCTCTCTATAGTTTCGTGCGACAAGTCGCCTTACAGATTATCGTCGACTAGAAGGCCTGAATAATGCCAAGGCACAAATAAAGGGATCAATCTAGAAAAAAAAAAAAAAAAAAGCAGAACTGAAGGCGCTTCACCAAGAAAAGTCAGTCTTGGAAGGCCATATAAATGATGAGCAGCGCCTGATTGATCGATACCAAAACAATGCAGCCGACCTGGACCAGGAGTTGAAGATTCACGTCCGATCCCAACTCATAAAGCAGTATTAGTCGACTGCCAATAACAGACGACGCTCCAGAACAGAAGACAAATGGTCCCAAATAAAACTTGTTTTAGGATCTCTTTTGTAAACTTTTGGAAACTTTGACTTGGTAAATAAATTTTCATCCTATTTTTAAGGATCACTTTTCAAATTTCCAACTCTCAGGTAACCAATCAATTCATCACCCTTATAAATATTTGCAGTCCTTGCAAATCAACAGATAAGCATTTACTCACAAATCAACCTTGAAAACGCCTGCCCACAAGTATTAAAATGCCACCTCATCGTCCTCATGTTCCTGTAAACAATTGATAATGTGTTATCTAACCCTTTTTTGTGGGTAATCATCCAGTTGGAGGTCATGCCGAAGACCTGCTATGCATCCTCAAACAATTAGATTTCAAATTCAGATTTTCCCAACGAGGCAGAAAGACCATTCATCGTGTTATTCGCCTGATGGAAAATGTGCTAGAAGGATACGAAACTCTTCGGGATATACAAAATTGCCTTCCCGACATTGATCATCACATGGATTTGATTGAACATCATGTGACAGCCATACTCCCAGACCTTGGCTGGGATCACACCTTCTCCAATCAACGTGTGGTCTTTTCAAGGTTACGCACTCTTGTTGATCGTGAACGCCAAGCCGTGACAGACATGAAAGCTCGGACCGACTATGATCTTGAGAAGATATAGGACCAATGGGAGAAGTACCGACCTGGCTTAGAGAACCTTATTGATGAAGAACCAGAGCTAGTCCCTAATCACTGGAATGAAGCTTCTGACTCAGAAGGAAGTAATTCTCTGCACAACTCAACATCTGATAATGAATGAACCCCTATTAGGTTCGAACCCTTGGTAAATGGGTTCTGAATAAACTTACTGTTTCATGCTTTCTTGTTATCTGAAAAGGCAGGAAAATACCTCTTCAGATATCTAGCATTAATACAGTCATGTACCCTTTTTATAATAATAAATGCACCATTTCTGATCTCCTTTTGAATTATGAATGGTCCCTCCCAATTCGGGGACCACTTTCCTAATTGATCAAACTTCTTATATGTTGGAAGAATAGTCTTCCAAACCAAATCTCCTTCTTTGAATGTTCTGTAAAAGATTTTCTTTCCATAAGTCTTGGCCCTGATCTCATTTTGTTTTACAATTTGATCAATTGCATAAAGTCGGTTGACATCGTGACTTTCCAATTGCTGCAACATCATTTGTTGGTATTCCTCAGTAAATTCATCATTGGTAAAGCTTGTGCGTCCAGATGAGACATGCACTTCAGCTGGCAACACAACATCTTGCCCAAAAGTAAGTTGATATGGCAAAAACCCTGTGGCAGAACTTCTGTTATTCCTATGTGCCCATAAGGCTCGTGATAACAACAAATGTCATTTCCTTGGGTTCCCTTCAATCGTTTTCTTGATAATTCCAATAATAATCTTGTTAGTTGTTTCTGCCTGCCCATTAGCCTGGGGATAATAAGGCGAAGAATGATTCAAACGAATACCAAACTCTGCCAAAAAGCTTAAAAACTTCTCCCCAGTAAAGACCAGACCTTGGTCGGTTGTTACTGAATGAGGAATACCATACCTATATATGATCTGATTCAGCACAAAATCAATCACCTCCTTCTGATCCACACTTTTCAGAGCAACCGCCTCCACCTATTTGGTGAAATAATCTGTTGCAACCAGAATAAAACAATGATTCTTGGACGAGGGATAATGGATTTTACCAATGATATCCATAGCCCAAGATTTAAAGGGCCATGGTTTTACCATAGCTTGCAATTCTATGACTGGTAAATGAATTAACTGCCCATGCCTCTGACATTCTTGGCAGCCCTTGGCAAATTGTATGCAATCTTCAAAAATCTTTGGCCAAAAGAAATCTAAACGATGGATAGCCCATCTCATATTCAGACCTGCCCGATGAGCTCCACAAATTCCGTTGTGCACTTCTGTCATCACCTCCAAAGCTTGCTTGGGCCCCAAATATTTCAAGAGCAATCCTT